TTTCCTTCGATCTATGGTCACAATATGGACATTTGAACGGTTTCTCCATCATCACCTATAATATCTGCGAAGCAATCAACAGAAAACTTAGAAGACAAGCTAAATTTGCACGGATATCGGAAAATATTTCCGAAGAAGCAGTTCTGAATACGGCGAGCTATGATGCAGCAAAAAATAGGGAGGAGTAAAATCCTGAGAAGACCAAGAGAAACAAATATTCTCCATAAACTCTCCAACATCTTATTATTGAACCCAAGAGCTTTCCGGAAAGAGAGGAGGAAAGAAGAGGAGAAGAGAGGAGCCGAAAATGGTGAATCCAGCTCTCGAAATAATAGAAGCAAAATATGACAGGACTGAGCAACGAAAGAGCGGGGTGGGAGGGAGGAAAGGACATTCAAAACAGCGCATTTAAATCCGCTGATAGGCCTAGGAGACACTAAGACTAAGTCCAGGAGAAGGGAGAAACGCCACTGATTGTGAGAAGAAATATTGCTAACATCCTCCCCAAGCTCCCCCTAATGCTTGGATCCTAGATCTGTAGGTGTCTCAATCATTTCAATGTCCCCTGACAACATGAGCGCATGTAGCTCAAATACTCACCCTTTGATCGCCCACAATCAGTGGAACAGTGACATCACTGGTACCGACAATTTCTGGGAGACCGTAACCAAAACTATCGATATCTGATGTTCTTCTTTCATTTTCTTGAAGGAACGACATTGTAACTGCTGGCACAGTAGCATCGCCATTCTTGCCATCAGCTGAAGAACCAATAAACAGAAAGCTCAAGCAGAATATTAGTCAAAAAACCAAATATCAGTACATGACACAGGAGAGAACATTGCCGACTGTTATAAGCAGCTATGCAAACATAGAAATTTGGCGAACGACAGACATTTTCAACATGGGCTAGGGAACTTCAGTGAAATGCAGGCTGTGCTCAATCAATAAAAAGGCTTATCATATTTTTGATAGAGTAAATACAAGCTCAAAAGGTTTAGACAGTCAAACATAACTATTTCACATAAGGCGGTAGGCAAGATAATAACTGCTATAATCATGCAACCCATTAAACTCAAAACGTAAGGAAACGTACAGACAGAAACGACCGTGGTTCCTCTGACGACCAGAGGTTGATATCTGTTACGTTGCATACGAACGGTGGTTCTTCTACCACGGCGAGGTCCCATGACATACTCTTCGTAAATCGAGTCATAGTCATCCGCGGCTTGAGCAGTGATATCTTCAGGATAAAAGGTTAGGGGTGCGGAATTTCCATTCACTTTGCTGTCTTCAGCTCGATCACCTGGATGAAAATCATAAGAAATTGAGTACAGAGAAGTGTTCAGTGGTGATAGCGGAAGCTTCAGCATTAACCGATTACGTCCACACTATAGAAACAAAATGTTCACAACGAATTAGTCCGAAGAAAAGAACGTACCGTGCTGAAAATCGTGCCTTGTACTTGGATTTCCGGAAGCGTTCTCATCCACAGGGATTGAAAAATTCATACCACACACCCCTGAAATTGCCTAATTTTGAGCGCATGAGCCACAGTTTTGGATAACTACCTAAAACCTGAACAATACATGATCAGTAAGATGAAGATATTCAATGGAACCACTGTACAAATGCAATGTTGACTCACCATACTGGTTCAAATCCTTTTCCTCGTCTTCTAGTTTACAAGCACAATGATCAATGAGGTCCACTAGGCGATTCATACCAACTTCAAAAGCCGATAGACGTAACATTCTGAACCGTCGCTGTCCCACATCCAGCACTCCAGTGTAAGCAAAATCCACCAACATCTTCATGTTTTCACTGAGAATGAAATAATTACAAAAATGCTGTCAAATAAGTCTCTCGAACACATAACTGATCCTATAAAGTTGAGTGCAGACGAATCAGTTTTTTTTTTGAGAAAGAATGCAACAGAAAAGGTCCGCATGGAGCAATTTCTCGGCTTGCACTATTTTAGTGATTTTACTCAATCATGAACTTTCCCTGTAGGAGCGAAATCATTCTTTGGTTCCATTTCTACGCATTTGCAAATTAGAGGTGGCCATTACTTATTTATTAGCCATCTTTGGCCTCCCTCAAAAGTCCCATTGCATATACAATAACAATAGGATCATAGACAAAAGATTGGAAATGTTCCCTCGGATATCGAACTGCAACTTTTCTTGATACGACAGCTTTGAAACTAGGATCCAACAAAGATAAAAATCAAAGAAATAGTGTCTCCTACGTAGAAATGTGAACACTGCGTGAATCGATCCGAAGTGTGACTGTGCCTATTCGAAGTGCCCATTAGAGCGGTCTCTAAGTTTGCGCTGTGCGCACACATCACCAGTCGATGACAACGAACTATAGCCAAACGCTGAAGAAGTTACTACCATACTGATATAGGCATATTAATCACGATAACTGAATCACCATCAAAAAAAGTTTACATTTGTATCAAAAAACTTCCCTTGTAAGAAGAAAAGAGCAGAATGAAAACACTCAATATGACACATAATTTTCGCGATACAAAGAGCGAACTGTGCTGAAGTACGACTGGCTTACCTCTGTGACAATATTACAATCGAGAAACTTCGACTCCTTCCTGAATCTGGCTAGTTGTTCTTGGAAACGAATTTCATGCCACTCATCATGCAGGTCGCACCCATCCTCGCTGGTCGAGTTAAGTAGCTAAATCAGCACTGGAGATGTTAAAAGGTTCACCCAAGCGAAGAAAAAAGGGAACACTTACATCTACCAAAGCGTTACAACCAAGAAATGTTGCCGCATGTTGAAGCTGTTGGGAGAATCGACAAGAGCCAGTGTACATATAGTCTATTACTTGAACGAGTGTTTCTTCGGAGATACCTAGTAATGAATAAAATAGAAGCGGTGCATAAACCAACTTAGGCATAGCATACATAAAATGAGTGACAACTAGTCACCAGCAGAAGAAATGAATTGAAAAAAACCTGAACTTCATAAGACCGTGAATTTGGAAGCATACCGGTATTGCACTCTGCCTTGCGACAACATAGTAACCACAATTGACAAATAAAATTTAAAAAAAATATTGGGTTTAAGTCCTGACCTTGTGCGCACAACCCTGCCAGTATTGTGAGAATTACATTGTACATGGAACTGCCGATTTGACTGGCATATATTCCCATCTGCTCGCCAAATTTCCTCTCCATATTATAGGTTTACGGTTACTTGAACTTTCTTCTATGGTCCTGCCACGAATGGCGGAGAGCACAGACGATTAGAGAACGGCGCCTGGCTCGGCTCCAAATCCCAAGGAAGGTGGAAGCCCAGGACTAAGCCTTGGAGGGGGGAGGGACTCGGGGGTGGCTGGGTACATCGTGACAAAAGTTTGAAAGAAAGGTGTGAAATTACAATGGTCATGAGCTGCTATTTAGACGAGAGAGCGCAGGCGAGAACACTAAATTGAGGTGGTTTATAGAACCGTGTTCAAGTAGTCCGTCGACCCATATTATATTACGGGACTAAATTGTCATGCGAAATTAATCTAGCGTCACCCTCTCAATACTCTAATCTCAATAATTATAGGAAATCAACATTAGGAATAAAAAAATCAAAAAGCAAAATAAATCGTAAGAAAACTTTTGGAAAAAATGCATATTCCTTAAATGACTAAAAGTAGCCTATATTTGAGAAAAAGAGAAACTAACCAGTAGCCACAGGATCAAAATCCAACGTGACCACTCCGTTTGGAGCTTTCAGCAAAGCTTGCTCGATATTCGTACTGAACGCAGCGACTAATAGAACGATTCGATCGAGCAATTGTTTTGTTGCCATTTTCGAAAATCAAGTCAAGATGCCGCTCGTTCTGTAAAAACATACAGAAGTTTAATTATCAATCAAATTTCAACTAATCTCACAACGCATTCAGGAAGGGAACTGCGAAACAGCAAATTGCAAATTCGACATACACTGCTTCAACCTTATTTACTCCTCATTTGTTTCAAAAATGCATCATCGCACTTGTGGAGTGAAGTGTACACCAACTGAGACAAATAGATACAATTCCAATCTATATTGGCAAATCTACTTTATGTAATCGATATAATAGTATGATTGCTGTAACTCCTGTTGGGAGTCTCAGCCTAATATAGCCGAGTGCTGCCAACGAAAGGTACAGTACAGGTAATTTGCACACTGCAGGGAAGTAAATCAGTCGCAAAAACTTCCAACGGTGGAAAAGAATTATACTCAAAACTGAACAATGATGAACTATTGGCCGCTTTTGGCACAACCCTAGAATTGGGGGATAGGCTGACCATCCGGCCGGTGGCACTTCGAGGAGATTTGGAAAATTACAAATTAATGTCGGCCAAGTGAAGCAGTTCAGGCTTTAGCTCGGATTAATGTATGCTATACGAAGTTGCTGTGTGAATACACCCCCCCCCCCCCCCCCCCCCCCCCCCCCCTTTTAAAAGCGAGACCGAATAAACACAACGGCGTTACAGAAGATCTCTCTACCCGTTCCTTGTTATGCTTAGAAGCAATCACCACACGGCCAGTGTCAATTCAGCTGACTTCGATTTTTCAGTTTTCATATCTCGTCCGACGCAACGACCATATACAGTAGTGGCCAGAAATTTATGAACAAACGGTTTTTTCATGATTTCTCTTTTGAAAGTCACTGGAACGTCTCCAAATTTGCAACAATTATTAACTACGTGTTTTATGATCCACACAGAAAATTTCAACCTTCAGCTCAAATTTGGGTTTAGAAAATTTTAGATTTTTCGAAATTAATGAAGGCAGGTGAAAGATCACTTGATCCGTTTATTTGATTTAAATAATGTATAACCCAACAGAACAGTCAAGTAAACAGTCACTAACATTAAGCAAGTCTAGCACATTGCCCAGAACTCTCTAAAGTATTGGATACATAAACTGGATTTGAATGCGGGGTCAACTAATGAACTCACTCTCTAGTGGGGTCTCTCTGTAGTCCCGTCTTTTCGTGGCTCTTTCATTGACATACGAATTTGTAGGTCCTCCCCTAGTGGTTCTGTAATGTTTGGCTCAAGAGTCTGGCCTGGCTGGTCTTTTAAAAGCACCCCATGCTGTCGAAACCACTCCTGCATGTGAGAGGCCCGATGCTTTGAGTCGCTGCTCTGCCGACAGGCAAAGTCAGGTCGGGCGGCAGCCAAGCCTACGGATACATGACACCTTCCAAAACATGACAGCAAACGTCTGCCTTTCATCGCTACCTCAGTCGTGTAGCGTGGTCCCACTTTTTTCCAAGGCAACCTTATCAAGCCTCCGCCAAGTTTCACAATTGGCAGCTGATTCTTTGGATCAAAACGTTCCCTCTCGTGGTGCCGTACATTACTAGTATCCTTGCTGTCATGCATCAGTAATATGTTTTTGTCATTCCAGATGACCTTAGAAACCTGTATCAACCTTCTTTTCAGACTTAGTCAATCACATTCTACTCCCACCCACTTCACAGCGAGCGCTCTTCTTAGACTTTGAGAACTAAGGAATACGTAGTATAGACTTAGATTCTAGAAGATGTTATGTATCCGTAGACATGGCTGCCACACGACCTGGCTTTGTCTGTCAGCAGAGCAGCGACTCAAAGCATCGGGCCTCTCACATGCAGGAGTGGTTTCGACAGCATGGGGTGCTTTTAAAAGACCAGCCAGGCCAGACTCTTGAGCCAAACATTACAGAACCACTAGGGGAGGACCTACAAATTCGTATGTCAATGAAAGAGCCACGAAAAGACGGGACTACAGAGAGAGACCCCACTAGAGAGTGAGTTCATTAGTTGACCCCGCATTCAAATCCAGTTTATGTATCCAATACTTTAGAGAGTTCTGGGCAATGTGCTAGACTTGCTTAATGTTAGTGACTGTTACTTTGACTGTTCTGTTGGGTTATACATTATTTAAATCAAATAAACGGATCAAGTGATCTTTCACCTGCCTTCATTAATTTCGAAAAATCTAAAATTTTCTAAACCCAAATTTGAGCTGAAGGTTGAAATTTTCTGTGTGGATCATAAAACACGTAGTTAATAATGTTGCAAATTTGGAGACGTTCCAGTGACTTTCAAAAGAGAAATCATGAAAAAACCGTTTGTTCATAAATTTCTGGCCACTACTGTATACGAAAGCACCATGAGAACGGGACATCATCGAGCTCGGACTAAAGGTCGAAGGAACTTATAAGTGTTTTTGGTGTTACATAAACATTCTCATCTAATTGAGCTCTTGCTCCAGATCAGCATTTCATGATCATGAAAATCGGATTTGGAGCATTTAGAGCGAACTTTTAATGTATGTTGGCAATTGATGGAATGCTGATCTATTTGGAATCAATTCTAAAAGCATTCAAGAGCGCATTTATAGTCTGTCGTCCGATAGTAACGATGTTAATGATCGCACAGCATTAGATACGTATCTATCATCGAACGCGTCGGATGACCAGACGATCGATACGTACCTAATGCTGTCCGATCGTTACGATCGGACAGCCGACTATGAATGTGCCCAAAAAAGCGATATCACCAAAAAATTTGCTTTGTTAAAAGATTCCTCGAGTCTAATCCGGTTAGGGGCATTGCAGGGCACAGTCTGCTCTAATGCCAGTTTGGCTCAAGGAGTCCTTTAAAGTTACGAAGTGCTATCAGCTTTTTTCTACGTTGTTTCTTCTGGTTTTTGTATAATGTATGTGTTCTTGTGCTTTGTAACATAAACGTCAATGAAAAGTAATATTTACCTAGTGATCAGTTAGGACTAAGCCTAGGAAGGGGAGGAAATCCCTCCCCGAG